TGTATGGAATAACGAAATAACAATGAAATATTGCAAAAATAAATAAATTCATATGGCAACTTATGAGTTCTTATGGATCTAAAATATTTTATGAAAGCGCAATTTGGATATATGGTTTGGGTATTTGTGTATATGGCAATTTCCTACTTAAGTTTAAAAGAAATGTGTAATTTTTTAAAGGTAAGCTCAATAAAAGTGCCAATAAAATTTGATTTTTTTTCACAATTATTGCTTATACATATGATGCAACTCTTTTCTACATAAGGGCAGAAAATTTGTCATAAAACAATTAATCAAATGACAAAAACATTAATTTTAACATATTACGAATATAAACAATGAAATCAGATCAAATGAATGGTGAATAGAGTAGCACATATGTATCCCTTTAACAAACGAATTTATGTTCATAAACAAATGTTGCTAATCTAGTTTCTCCATAAACATTTGCTAAATTATCAGCAATATTGTTAAATTATTATGCGTAGCGCAGTTGAATCATATGAACCGTTTTGGTTTTATACAATAATCAAAAATATATTACAGTTTTTATTTTGCAGTAATTCTCACATTTATTTCGGTATTCCACAGTGATTTCTGATTCTGATGAACATATTATGTAACATGTCAGTAATTTTTACAACTGTAGATACAAGCTTATTTAATTAAATATGTTTTTCGGAAACAATTTTTTATTTTAAGGGAAAATAGTTCTTCTATACATGCAAAACTGTAAATTTTACTATTTACACATCACATAAAATGTTAAACGAACAATAGAAAATTTCTTAATACATAATATCTTTCTTATAATGAGTCAAAGAAAAAGCGAACTACAAACAATCTCATAACAATATCCGTATAATTGAACTATTATAGAACATCAAAGAAATTATATAGGACAATAAACCAATCACACTTATTTAAAACTATTTAAAAACAAACTTTTATAAAATTCAAAAGAAAATTTTATCTAAGTATTATAAAAAAAAATTCTTTTGATATTATTATTAAAATAGTCGTAAAAGCTAAGTAAATATAAGAATTACAAGAAAATTATATAAAAATATTAACTTTATTATAAAATAAATTTCAGGGGGATTATTTTTCAAAGGATATTTTTGAGAACAAAAGAAAGTTATAGGGAATTATTGAAAAGTTTTCCTAAACACCTTAACCCTATTATTCTTTTATTGTCTGAATTCTACCTAAAAATTTCTGAGGTTTAAAGAAGAAATTTACCAAGTTCAAAAAACATTTGTCGAATAAACACAGTTTAGATTTATTTAATTTTTAATAAAAAACTACAGAGCTAGTTGAAACATGTAAACCAAATTTTGACTGAGATTAAAATTCGGAGAACATGCATATTTAAATGCTAGTTGTTAAAAATTCGTCAAACTCGACTCTATTCGAATGAGTTTTGAAATTTTAATTTAAAACAAGTAAAAACGTTTCAGTCGGTATGAACCGATTGAATTATACCCTGCACCTTTCATTGTTGTATAGCAATTACTCAAACCTGTGAAACCATTCTATAGAAATTTCACGGATATGTCTGATTTATAACTGGACACACAACTGCCAAGTTTCATGAATCTGACTTTATTTTTCCAAATATTTAAACTTTTGGACTTGTATGGGAGCTACTCGTAGCTGTAGAGCAATTCAACCAAAACTTCAGAAATATCTTTGACCTATAATTGGACAGACAACTGCCAAGTTTCATGAATCTAACTTTATTTCTTTTCCAAATATTTAAAATTAGCTTTTGGAGTTGTATGGCAGGTACCCGAACCTGTCAAGCAATTCCACTAAAACTTCGCAGGTATATCTGATCTATAATTGGACACATAACTGCCAAGTTTCAAGAATCTAACTTTATTACTTTTCCAAATATTTAAAATAAGCTTTTGGACTTGTATGGAAGCCACTCGAACCTGTCAAGCAATTCCACCAAAACTTCAGAAATATCTTTGACCTATAATTGGACACACAACTGCCAAGTTTCATAAATTTGACTTTATTATTTTTCCAAATATTTAAAATTAGCTTTTGGAGTTGTATGGCAGGTACCCGAACCTGCCAAGCAACTCCACTGAAACTTCGCAAATATATCTGATCTATAATTGGACACACAACTGCCAAGTTTCATAAATTTGACTTTATTATTTTTCCAAATATTTAAAATTAGCTTTTGGAGTTGTATGGCAGGTACCCGAACCTGTCAAGCAATTCCACTAAAACTTCGCAGGTATATCTGATCTATAATTGGACACATAACTGCCAAGTTTCAAGAATCTCACTTTATTACTTTTCCAAATATTTAAAATAAGCTTTTGGACTTGTATGGAAGCCACTCGAACCTGTCAAGCAATTCCACCAAAACTTCAGAAATATCTTTGACCTATAATTGGACACACAACTACCAAGTTTCATGAATCTGACTTTATTATTTTGCCGAATATAAAAAATTTGCTTTTGGAGTTGTATGGCAGCCACCCGAACCGGTGTAGCTACCTCATTAAAATTTTTAGAGCATATGTAGAATATAATTGGACACATGTATAGAAAATTTTATATTTGTACCTTTATTAGTTTTTGAAATAATTAAAATAAACTCTTTGAGTTGTATGGCAGCTACCCGAACCCGATGTCCGAATTGGTCCAATAACAATAGGGTTCGTCCTTGGCACAAAAGAAGCAACTTGTGAAAGTTTGGTGTCGATTGCATTATTCGTTTTTGAGTTATCGTGCGATCGGACGGACGGACGGACGGACGGACGGACGGACATGTCTAAATCAACGCAGAATTTTACGCTGAGCAAGAATATATATATATGTCCATACCGCAGATGACTCCTTCAAGTAGTTACAAACTCCATACCAAAGTTAATATACCCTTCACGAAGTGCAGGGTATAAAAAAGCTGAATAAATAATTTTGGAATTAATAAAGGTATTTTCTGCACATATATATACATAAAGGTATTTTGTATACAACAACATATACCCATTGGTTAAAGGATCGAAAATGGGTAAAATATTTATTCCGAACTGGGTGCCAAATCTCAAGGGTTTCCGGGTTCCAGGGATTTGAACGAATTTTCACGAAATTTTTACTTATCCAAGTATTTTGATTATAACTTCTGTTCTGAAAAAGATGGGGACTTCACACAAACAGTTTCTGAAAGATCTAGTAAAGGGCTTAAAAAAAACATGTTGCTTCATTCTGTATTTTATGTATCCTCGGAATACAAAGCATTTGAACTTTAGGCAAAATCAAATTTTTCCCTTGTTTTATTTTTTCAGTTTAAGTTTGGATAATTTCGTAAGAAATTTTTTTAAACCTTGAAACTTTTTTTTTAGAATTTTGCCCAGCTGCTTGATATTTAACTTAAGTCCTCAAACATTAAAAAAAATTTTATGGTACAGATTTTTTTATAAAGATTTTAAAGCCCCTATTTTTCACTATTTTTGATTTTTACCTATTTTAGGCGCTATAATTACCAAATATCATTAACATAATTTTGGATGAACATCAAGTTTGTTGTAAAAAATCTGAATTTTAATGTTTTTATTGAAATGTAACAAATAATAACAAAATTGAAACGAAATTTTATACAAACTTTTTAATTGAAAAACAAAAATTGAATTTAAAAAATTTGAAATTTTTGAAAAGAAAAACAAGAATTTTGTATTATGAAAAACAAAAAAAATCTAGTAATCAAAAAATTTTTTTCGAAACTTTTCTTGGTAAAGAAAATTGGTAGGTTTTTAATTTTTGCCAATTTTTATAAGAAATGGTACCTATATGGTTTGGAATTTTTAAATGCATTTTTCTCAGATTGGGTGCAATTTAAAAATTTGAAAAAAATATTTTCGAAATCTAGACACCATTTGGCATCTGAGCTTATTAAAATTATCCAGGTGGAGCGAATTTGTAAAGGTATGCCATATAAATTTTGACATTTATTTTAATAGAAAAAAATTTTTTTAATAGGAAAATTCAATTTTTTTGAACAAAATGGAGTTTGTGGTATTTACATTATGAAGCTAATAAACAATTATAATTAATTTAATGGAATTAATAAATTTCAAACATTGTTTTACAAAAACTAAATTGACATACGGTTGATGCAACTAAAGGGGTGTTCCAGTAAAGCAATTGCTTTAAAATATGTAATTGAATAGAAATAGATTTGAAAGAAGAAAAACTTGTAAAGTTTTTGATAAAGGAATATTAAATTCAATTTAATTTTAGTTTTATCAACATCTGGTTTGATTTTAATTAAATTTGTGGCTCACAATATTTGTGGTTTTTGTACTATATCTTCTGTACCATAAAAAATGTTTTAATGTTTGAGGACTTAAAGCTGGAAAATATTCTGTAAAAATATTTCGTGGTTTAAAAAATTTTTTAACGAAATTTCCAGTTAGAAAAAACTGAAAAAATAAAACAAGGGAAAAATTTGATTTTGCCTAAAGTTCAAATGTTTGGCATTCCGTAGGTTCATAAAAAAAGAATTAAGCAGTATGTCTATATTAAGCCCTTCATTAGGCCTTTCAGAAACTGCTTGTTTGAAGTCCCAATCTTTTTCAATACGGAAGTTATAATAAAAAAAACTGGATAATTAAAAATGTCGTGAAAATTCGTTAAAACCCCTGGAACTCGGAAACCCTTGAGATTTGGCACCAAGTTCGGAACAAATGTTTTACCCATTTTCGATCCTCTAACCAATGGTATGTGTTGTTATATACCTTTCAGAATCACTCTGTATAGACAAAAACTTATAATTTTAAGTACTTAAATAGAATTAGATAGTTCCAAATTCAATTTTATAGTTTTTGATTATAACCGCACTGATTTAGCAAACATAATATTAACTATTTTCAAATGTTTAATTTTTTACTACGGTGCTAGCTCTAGCTATACTACTTATATAATTTTCACATTAAGTACTTATTAATAAAGAAAAAAAATAAAAATTCAATACTCACAACTGCATTTAATATTCCTTTGACATCAATACCAACCATTGGGGCAAAAAATACTTTAACACCTGGTTCAATTATTAATTTAGCACCATTTTCAATTTCAATATCACTTCTAACAATATATGGACTATTTGATTTTCTTAAATATTTTTCACCAATAATTTTTTGATCTTTTAATTCTGTTCCACTATTAAAATCTGTTATTAAAACATCAACTTTATTATTATTATTAATGTTATTATTACTATCACTTAATTTATTTATATTATTATTATAACTATCATAATTATTATTATTATTATTACTGTTGATGTTATCATTAAAATTATGATTATTTTCATTATTATCTATTATATGATCATTATTATTATTCTGTTGTGGATGATGATAATGATTTTCATTATCATCGTTATTATTTTCATTATTTGTTGAAACATATTCAACACCCAATTCATTTGGATCAATTTCATTAACTAAAATTTCTTGTGCTACACTTAAATTAATTATTAATAATAAAAATGAATAATATAATAAAAACGGTGGTTTAATACCATCAATTATAATTAATTTTTTATTTAAACGTTTTTTATATTTAAAAAACTTCATTTTTATTAAATTATTTTTTTTTTATTGTTACATAAATTTATATTATATATTCTTGTGTATATATATATAATTAAATTGTATTGAAAATTTTTTTTATCTAATCGATAAATTTTCTTATCGATTCATCGATTTTAATCTTGTATTTATTATTCTTATCTCTTTTGCTTATTTTACTCCTTTTATTTTGAATTTTTTTTTTCGATTCTTATCAAATAGCTTTGAACGTAACATAAACAAATATTATTCACAGGTGTTTTTTCTTTTCGTTTTTTTTTTGTTGTTAAAAGTATTAAAGTTTCACTTTACATTTTGTTTACACTGCGTGAACCTGTTTAGGTAAATAAAAATATTATGTGTATTAGATAATAAGTATGTATGTATATAAAAATTGATTATAATATGAAATACTTAAGCTAGGTTATTTTTTATATACATATGTACATGTATAAATGTGAAATATTAAAAATTGTAATTCGATTTTCTGATAAAAATTTAAGTGACTCACAATAAGTATGTCATTAATAACCAACATCATCAATAATACAGTTATCCCGTCGAGACAGTCATTCACAAGTTTTTGTTTCATATTCTCAACATAATTAGGGCGGTGGCAGACATACAATTTTTAATTTTGCAACTATTTGATTATTTATTTGTATTCCAAAAGGTTTACACTCAAGCGCGCACGCATGCATCGCATAAAATTAAGTAATCACACACAGTTTATAATTTTTTACAAAGTCATTGCAATTTTTAGTTACCACAATCGATTTGATTTTTAGTTTAGTTCCATAGATGTACGCGGAACAATTGTATAATCAAGCAGCAATTAAAAAATTAAAAATTGTATGTCTGCCAAAGCTCTTATGTACCTATATCGTTCAAATTTGATATGTCATACAAATTTTTAGGTCTTTTTTTCAAATTCTATGAGATAAGTGTTCCTTATGCCATATTTAGCAATAGCCATTTATCAGGCTACCAAGCCTGTAAATCGGAAATAATATCCAAATTTGTATGAAAATTACAAGCAGGGTTTGGAAATTATTTGTGTGAAGAAAACCGATTAATTTTCAAAAAAAAATGATTATTACATATTTTTATTAGCGGAACTAAAAGCGTCGGTTATCGAAGAATTACTGTATTATGTTCGTACTAACGTATTTATGTTATTAACAATATTTAATCAGTAAGTAAAAAATTTAATTAGTGAGTAAAAAATTTCACCCTAAAAATAAAATTTATACCTACAAATAAATTTTTATTAAATTCGTATAACTCTAATTTTATCAGTATAAAAGCTTCAAATCGATATAATTTATTTTTTTTTATTCAAAATTTTTCGAAATTTATTGACTTTGTTAATCGTGTAAGTAATAGATTCCAAATACATTCGTCATCAAAATTAATTTTCGATTTATAAATTTAAAAAAAAATTATTAAAATATGCTGTTTTTTATTTCTATATTTTAAAAATTCATATCCAAAATGTAAACCCAGAGATGTCTTAATTATTTTAGAATAAAAAAAAAGTTAAATTTTATCAACTCGCTTTACTACTTATGTATTTAATTATAAAACTACATCAACAAAAAAAAAAACACTGAAATTCTCGTTATTTTTTTTTTTTTTTCTATTTTATTGTTGTTATTCTTTTTGAACAATAACCGATCCTTTATAACACAAACGTTAGTCAACGGTATTTTTCGAATACTAAATTTTATTTATATAGCAACTAAAAAATATGTTAATAGAAATTGTAAAGCAACAAAATAAATACAAATTCAACCCCATAGGCGTATTTGTATGTGTGTGCGTGTATATTTGTATTGTGCAATCTAAAGACAGTAGAATGACAAATAAGCTAAAAGAAAAACAATAATCAAAATAAAAAAAAAATATTTTGAAATGAAAACTTGAATGAATACCAAAACAAGTTTATATAAAAACAATAAAATAATAAGAAAAAATTATGTTACGAGTTGCGTGGTTTTTAATTTTTCATGAAAATTCTAATCTAACATAATATTGAATTATTTGCCAATGTGTTTGTAAACGTGCATATTTGAGTTTTTTTTTTAAGTTTCCTCTTTATGTTTTCATTCTTGTTTACATCATCCCTTTTTGCTTTCTTTTCTTTCTTTTTCGATTTCTGTTTTATTTTACATTGCCAAGAAAAAATAATAATAATTGCCAGTTTATACTTGCACATGTATTTTATTTATGACTAATATGACAGTACAGAAAATACATAGTTTTGTAATATAAGAACTAAAAATTCAATAAATTTTTCTTTAAAAAAAAAATTTAATTTAAAATAATTTTCATTCACAAAAAAAATTTTTCTAACATGCTTATCATAATATAAGCATTTATAGCAAATTGAATCATAAGTGTCATACCCACAAAATAACTATATTTAATGTGAGTGTGTATGTTTGTAAATATAGAATTTCTTATGACATCAAAATTTACTGTCATACTGGATTTAATCAACATGAAATTGCATTATTTCTCTTTAATTTTTGTTTTAAAATTTTAACACTTAAGTTCCACAACATAATTTTCGCACTTAAGTTCCACACATTTTTAATTTGACTTAACTAGGTAGTAAAACAATTGCACACAGGTAGTTATTTTAATTTTCCTAAGTATGTGTATTGTTTTAAAAATTTGTAAATGTGTGAGTTAATAATTATTTTCTCTTCTTTGTTTATAACTATATTAACTATTATACTCTTGGTTTATATTATATAATTTATAACTTTAATGTGTATATATATATTTATATTTGTAATTGCAATAACAATATTTTTGCAACTATGAGATTGCTAAAAAATAAGAGAGAATTTAAAATATAAAAATCAAAAAATGATTTGTGGAATAATAAAATTATAACATATATAATTAAAAAATTACTGTACACAATATAATTTACTCATATTTGCACTTGTAAATGAATATTGGTATTTTCTACACTATATTCAAGTGATATATTTTTGTTTTTAAATCGATTTTTAAGCGAATGCTTAAATCTCATCGTCTCAGACAGCGCATTTATATTGGCATGTATGTATGTATACGATTGTATGTACATATATTTGCATTCTAAGTCAAAACAAGTTAAGTTAATAATAAAGGTATGCTGTTAATTAGGACATAATATTATTTTTAATATGTGATTTTTATGATTCTTACATATATGAACAAGAATTACAAATAAAGTCAATAAAATCGTCAATTCATAATATTGTAATTGCAGAAATATTTAAAAGTGTATAAGTAAATGTAACTATCTTCTTCCTGAGAAAAAATATTTCTTAATTACTTATACTTTTATAAACCTGTTTTTCTTATACTTACATAATTCAATTCCTTAGCATTTACACATACATCCGTAATATTTCTGCATAATTTTTACATTATGTGGAAATTAACTTTATTTTTATAGACAAATTCCTTTATATTTAAACATTTTTGTTATATTTTCATTTATGCATGTAGGAATTTGCCATTTCTCATCATAGTTTGGTATAATGAGAGAAAAATGCCTGCTTTTATAGAAAGCAACAATAATTAATAAATTCCAAAATAATTAAAAATTGAATTTTTTTTTTTAATTTAATTTTCAAGAAAATTAAAGCGAAAGTAGTTGTTTCTTTTTAAAATTTTTTTCCTCAAATACTTTTAGGTAATTAGAAAAATATGTTCTATGGTTAATGTATCTCTTAATATGAAATTACTGGAAGGACATTGCCTTAAAATTTCTTCTTCAATATAGAAAATAATATGTATTACAAATGAAATATATTTAACTAATAGTTGAAATTATGGTTGAAAAACATGATTATTATCTACACTGTCGCCTTTTAACATTCTGAAAAATTAAAGTTATTTTTCACCGATAAATTATTGGTTATAATGTGGTACGAAATTTAAACGAGATAATATCAAGAATTGGAATCCATGTTTTGAAAATATCTCACTTTTAAGGGTGACTCTTCTTGTCACTCCTCTCCGGAACGGCTTAAGCAAAAAACAAATTTTAACTTATTTGACCTAAAAACTTTCAAAAAATGAATACTGAGCGCAATTTCCACTGTGTGAATTGAGAGAAAAACGGAAACTAACACAAGTTTTCGAGGTATCCCGTTGTTTAAAATGTATCTGTATATTTTACAAAAATCAAACTTAAATAAATCTTAAGCTATAACATTGATAAATTAACATAATATAGATTTAAGTATAAAATAAGTATTTAAGTATAAGTATTTAAGTATAAAAAAACATATTTTCAATAATAATTACTATTAAAAATTTTAAAAATTTCACTCTTTCAAAATGAAATGTCAATGAAAGGGAAACAAATTATTTTGTTCATATGTTTTGTATTTTTGTACTCATGTTTATTTTACATAAAAAGTGTAATCATTCTCACAACGATTTTATGAAATTATAAATTCTACAATATTTTCATTCTTATATATTTTAAATAAAACTTGTAATTATAATGCTGCACACGCAAATCTAATTACTTGTGCTTTTTACCTTCTGGAATAATGGGAAATGATAATCACGAATCAATTTTTTAAGTTCTATACGCGATTAAAGTTCTACATGATACCTTTGAAAATGCTGTATGGTGGGATTTAGGGTATGTATATTAAAAAAGTGAAAATGAAAATCTTATTTAAATAATTATATTTTTATGTTTGGAGAAATTTGATATAGTTATATGTATTCAATATTCGTACTTAAAATTTATGTATGTACTTAACTTAAAATTTGATTAAAACACAGTGGTTTCTAACGTAACAATAAATGAATTTTTAAAATAAAAACAATTCTT